GGCCATATCTATAGGAATTGCTGGCTTAGCTCTACTTCTGGAGCACCTGACCTCTGGCAGCTCCTTTCAGCTCTAGCCCTTTAGGACCAGAGCGTGAGACTTGCTCCTCAAAGCAGCCTCAGCATCACCCGGGGTCTTGTTAGAAGTACAGAATGTCAGGCCTCAAGCCAGACCTACTGAGTCTGCATCTGCGTTTTAACAAGATCCCAGGGAGATTCTATGCACATTAAAGATGAGAGGACTATCCTAGATATCAGTGTGGTAGCAGAGAGTGAGGTAGGGCTGGAGGGGAAGGTGGTTCTTCTTTGGCCTAATCTCCACTGGAGCCCAGGGAGTGTGAATGAAGAGGGAAGACTATGTTAGGAAATCTAAGGATTTATGCAGCATCCCTGAAGGCAGGGTGAAGAACACCTTTGCAGTGGAAACATATGAGGAGCTGACAAAAATGGAGGATTCATTCTAGGCAAGGAGGGGTGGTTCCTGGACAGGGAGGGTTGGGTGTGTCATCTGCGGGTTCTAATTCCTTACCTTCCGCCAATTCAAGGGTGCGTGAGCTGGGGTGAGCCTCTCAGCTCTCTGGGTTTTCTGTCCTTCCATATATAACATATAGGATTTAGACAAGTTGATTTCAAAGATGCCCTACAGGTTACACCCTGTATAGGTCCAAGAAGAAAACAACAACAACGAAAATGGCCCCTATAACTACAGTCACAAATCTTAGGCAAAGATGACAGACACATCAATTGACAGAGGCAGTTGCTGGGATGTAGAACCCATAGCCCCAAACTTAGGACCTGTGCATCAATTCTATTTCATTGCATCAAAACTTTTTTTATAAAAAGGAAGGAAAGAAGGAAGGAAGGAAGGAGGGAGGGAGGGAGAAAGGGAAGGAGGGAGAAAGGGAGGGAGGGAAGGAAGGAAGGCAGGCAGGCAGGCAGGAAGGAAGGAAGGAAGGAAGGAAGGAAGGAAGGAAGGAAGGAAGGTGGTGAGACCAGCTAGGTCAGAGAGACCCTAACCCAGTGGCGCTAGAGGAATTAAAGACACACACACAGAAATATAGAGGTGTAGAGTGGGAAATCAGGGGTCTCACAGCTTTCAGAGCTGAGACCCCTGAAAAGAGATTTACCTATGTATTTATTAACAGTAAGCCAGTCATTAGCATTGTTTCTATAGATATTCGCTTAAAGTATCCCTTATGGGAAACGAAGGGATGGACTGAAATAAAGGGATGGGCTCTGGCTAGTTATCTGCAGTAGGAGCATGTTCTTAAGGCACAGGTCGCTCATGCTATTGTCTGTGGTTTAAGAACGCCTTTAAGGGGTTTTCCGCCCTGGGTGGGCCAGGTGTTCCTTGCCCTCATTCCAGTAAACCCACAACCTTCCAGCTTGGGCATGATGGCCATCATGAACATGTCACAGTGCTGCAGAGATTTTGTTTATGGCCAGTTTTGGGGCCAGCTAATGGTCATATTTTGGGGGGCCTGTTCCCAACAGAAGAAGGAAGGAAGGAAAGAAGGAAGGAAGGGAGGAAGGAAGGAAGGAAGGAAGGGAGGGAGGGAGGGAGGGAGGGAGGGAGGAAA